CAACCAAACTCATTGGAGACGTTTTAGGGCGAAATATGGATGTCTCCAAAAAATTCCCATGGATTCCAAAATGTCTCCAATTTTTTACAAAATCTTTTCAAGTCATTTTGAATCTTGGGAACCCGGATTTCTGCAACGGATCACACTTGTACTACCTCTATGCAACTCACCCACACCAATTTGGGCATGTCCCAGCCAACTAAAGCCGAAAATCTGGCTTTGAAATCTCAAATTTGAAAACACCCGAAAATGCCCCTTTTCGGCCCATTTTTCGGCCCATTTTCGCCCCTGAAGGCCCCAAATAACTGGTAACGTACTTCCAGATCAACCAGGGTGCCAACCAAACTCGTTGGAGACGTTTTAGGGCGAAATATGGATGTCTCCAAAAAATTCCCATGGATTCCAAAATGTCTCCAATTTTTTACAAAATCTTTTCAAGTCATTTTGAATCTTGGGAACCCGGATTTCTGCAACGGATCACACTTGTACTACCTCTATGCAACTCACCCACACCAATTTGGGCATGTCCCAGCCAACTAAAGCCGAAAATCTGGCTTTGAAATCTCAAATTTGAAAACACCCGAAAATGCCCCTTTTCGGCCCATTTTTCGGCCCATTTTCCCCCCTGAAGGCCCCAAATAACTGGTAACGTACTTCCAGATCAACCAGGGTGCCAACCAAACTCATTGGAGACGTTTTAGGGCGAAATATGGATGTCTCCAAAAAATTCCCATGGATTCCAAAATGTCTCCAATTTTTTACAAAATCTTTTCAAGTCATTTTGAATCTTGGGAACCCGGATTTCTGCAACGGATCACACTTGTACTACCTCTATGCAACTCACCCACACCAATTTGGGCATGTCCCAGCCAACTAAAGCCGAAAATCTGGCTTTGAAATCTCAAATTTGAAAACACCCGAAAATGCCCCTTTTCGGCCCATTTTTCGGCCCATTTTCGCCCCTGAAGGCCCCAAATAACTGATAACGTACTTCCAGATCAACCAGCGTGCCAACCAAACTCGTTGGAGACGTTTTAGGTCGAAATATGGATGTCTCCAAAAAATTCCCATGGATTCCAAAATGTCTCCAATTTTTTACAAAATCTTTTCAAGTCATTTTGAATCTTGGGAACCCGGATTTCTGCAACGGATCACACTTGTACTACCTCTATGCAACTCACCCACACCAATTTGGGCATGTCCCAGCCAACTAAAGCCGAAAATCTGGCTTTGAAATCTCAAATTTGAAAACACCCGAAAATGCCCCTTTTCGGCCCATTTTTCGGCCCATTTTCGCCCCTGAAGGCCCCAAATAACTGGTAACGTACTTCCAGATCAACCAGGGTGCCAACCAAACTCATTGGAGACGTTTTAGGGCGAAATATGGATGTCTCCAAAAAATTCCCATGGATTCCAAAATGTCTCCAATTTTTTACAAAATCTTTTCAAGTCATTTTGAATCTTGGGAACCCGGATTTCTGCAACGGATCACACTTGTACTACCTCTATGCAACTCACCCACACCAATTTGGGCATGTCCCAGCCAACTAAAGCCGAAAATCTGGCTTTGAAATCTCAAATTTGAAAACACCCGAAAATGCCCCTTTTCGGCCCATTTTTCGGCCCATTTTCCCCCCTGAAGGCCCCAAATAACTGGTAACGTACTTCCAGATCAACCAGGGTGCCAACCAAACTCATTGGAGACGTTTTAGGGCGAAATATGGATGTCTCCAAAAAATTCCCATGGATTCCAAAATGTCTCCAATTTTTTACAAAATCTTTTCAAGTCATTTTGAATCTTGGGAACCCGGATTTCTGCAACGGATCACACTTGTACTACCTCTATGCAACTCACCCACACCAATTTGGGCATGTCCCAGCCAACTAAAGCCGAAAATCTGGCTTTGAAATCTCAAATTTGAAAACACCCGAAAATGCCCCTTTTCGTCCCATTTTTCGGCCCATTTTCCCCCCTGAAGGCCCCAAATAACTGGTAACGTACTTCCAGATCAACCAGGGTGCCAACCAAACTCATTGGAGACGTTTTAGGGCGAAATATGGATGTCTCCAAAAAATTCCCATGGATTCCAAAATGTCTCCAATTTTTTACAAAATCTTTTCAAGTCATTTTGAATCTTGGGAACCCGGATTTCTGCAACGGATCACACTTGTACTACCTCTATGCAACTCACCCACACCAATTTGGGCATGTCCCAGCCAACTAAAGCCGAAAATCTGGCTTTGAAATCTCAAATTTGAAAACACCCGAAAATGCCCCTTTTCGGCCCATTTTCGGCCCATTTTCCCCCTGAAGGCCCCAAATAACTGGTAACGTACTTCCAGATCAACCAGGGTGCCAACCAAACTCATTGGAGACGTTTTAGGGCGAAATATGGATGTCTCCAAAAAATTCCCATGGATTCCAAAATGTCTCCAATTTTTTACAAAATCTTTTCAAGTCATTTTGAATCTTGGGAACCCGGATTTCTGCAACGGATCACACTTGTACTACCTCTATGCAACTCACCCACACCAATTTGGGCATGTCCCAGCCAACAAAAGCCGAAAATCTGGCTTTGAAATCTCAAATTTGAAAACACCCGAAAATGCCCCTTTTCGGCCCATTTTCCCCCCTGAAGGCCCCAAATAACTGGTAACGTACTTCCAGATCAACCAGGGTGCCAACCAAACTCATTGGAGACGTTTTAGGGCGAAATATGGATATCTCCAAAAATTTCTCATGGATTCCAAAATGTCTCCAATTTTTTACAAAATCTTTTCAAGTCATTTTGAATCTTGGGAACCCGGATTTCTGCAACGGATCACACTTGTACTACCTCTATGCAACTCACCCACACCAATTTGGGCATGTCCCAGCCAACTAAAGCCGAAAATCTGGCTTTGAAATCTCAAATTTGAAAACACCCGAAAATGCCCCTTTTCGGCCCATTTTCGCCTTCCCCCTGAAGGCCCCAAATAACTGGTAACGTACTTCCAGATCAACCAGGGTGCCAACCAAACTCATTGGAGACGTTTTAGGGCGAAATATGGATGTCTCCAAAAAATTCCCATGGATTCCAAAATGTCTCCAATTTTTTACAAAATCTTTTCAAGTCATTTTGAATCTTGGGAACCCGGATTTCTGCAACGGATCACACTTGTACTACCTCTATGCAACTCACCCACACCAATTTGGGCATGTCCCAGCCAACTAAAGCCGAAAATCTGGCTTTGAAATCTCAAATTTGAAAACACCCGAAAATGCCCCTTTTCGGCCCATTTTCCCCCCTGAAGGCCCCAAATAACTGGTAACGTACTTCCAGATCAACCAGGGTGCCAACCAAACTCATTGGAGACGTTTTAGGGCGAAATATGGATGTCTCCAAAAAATTCCCATGGATTCCAAAATGTCTCCAATTTTTTACAAAATCTTTTCAAGTCATTTTGAATCTTGGGAACCCGGATTTCTGCAACGGATCACACTTGTACTACCTCTATGCAACTCACCCACACCAATTTGGGCATGTCCCAGCCAACTAAAGCCGAAAATCTGGCTTTGAAATCTCAAATTTGAAAACACCCGAAAATGCCCCTTTTCGGCCCATTTTTCGGCCCATTTTCCCCCCTGAAGGCCCCAAATAACTGGTAACGTACTTCCAGATCAACCAGGGTGCCAACCAAACTCATTGGAGACGTTTTAGGGCGAAATATGGATGTCTCCAAAAAATTCCCATGGATTCCAAAATGTCTCCAATTTTTTACAAAATCTTTTCAAGTCATTTTGAATCTTGGGAACCCGGATTTCTGCAACGGATCACACTTGTACTACCTCTATGCAACTCACCCACACCAATTTGGGCATGTCCCAGCCAACTAAAGCCGAAAATCTGGCTTTGAAATCTCAAATTTGAAAACACCCGAAAATGCCCCTTTTCGGCCCATTTTTCGGCCCATTTTCCCCCCTGAAGGCCCCAAATAACTGGTAACGTACTTCCAGATCAACCAGGGTGCCAACCAAACTCATTGGAGACGTTTTAGGGCGAAATATGGATGTCTCCAAAAAATTCCCATGGATTCCAAAATGTCTCCAATTTTTTACAAAATCTTTTCAAGTCATTTTGAATCTTGGGAACCCGGATTTCTGCAACGGATCACACTTGTACTACCTCTATGCAACTCACCCACACCAATTTGGGCATGTCCCAGCCAACAAAAGCCGAAAATCTGGCTTTGAAATCTCAAATTTGAAAACACCCGAAAATGCCCCTTTTCGGCCCCTTTTCGGCCCATTTTTCCCCCTGAAGGCCCCAAATACTTCCAGATCTACCAGGGTGTCAACTGTAAATGCCCTCCCTTGTCTATTAGGACAGTTAAAATTTATTCTTATCTTGGAATTCCGGTTCCCAACGATGTTTTTCGATGAATTTCAGAATTTAAATTTTTGGCATATTTTATCTTCACCATCCTTTTTCACCGGTTCAAAAAACTTTTCTGTCATATTAGAACTGATAACTTGTAAGATAGATCAGTTTTAGGCTGTTTTGGGCGAAATCTGAAATTGAGAAAATGTCTCCATTTTGAGGAATCATTATATGAAAGCTGATTTTGTGTAACGCGCGGCGACATTGTAATATTAAGAACGTTCAAGCGCCAACGTTGTGTGTTTACTCACGCGAGTTCTTTTAGCTATTTTGAAACGATTTTGAACGTTTTGATCAGTTGTAGATTAAGTCATTAACTCTTTCGAATTTCGAACCCAAGCTCAACTTCACGAACAGCTTACAAATGTAATTCAATTTTCTAGTTAAACGTTTTATAATGCATTTCTGATGCAGCTCAAATAGGCTTTATCAAGGGTTGGACTATAGTTGTTATTTGTTTGGGGACCGGTTATTTGCCAGGCCACATGTTGAGTGTTCTTTAAGGGTTTCGTAGAATATGACCGTGTGTCATTCAACCTTTTGATCTGGATTATTGATTATTACGACTTCTAACTTCAGAGTGCGGAGGAAAGATGTTCTCTAATATAATCCATGCTCCATCTCGAGTGAATGGTTTGAATTCTAGGGGTGCCAACTGCATATGGGAGATCAAAACTTCTCAAAACAACACAGGTTTGCAGATTTTTAGTCACTACAATTATGTTTACTCATTGTTAGACCAGAGCAAACGAAAGTATATTGCTAACAGAATTATTATTTAATTTGCACCATCTGTTCTCATTTATGGATGTTAGTTTGTTCCACTCATGTGTCATTGTGTCAGGACAATTTTACCAACAGTCGAAAGGCGACAGTAAAAGTTGTAGAAATCCAGTCAGTTATCTGAAAATTAGAGAGTACGGTTCAGATGGAAATGAGCTAACGGATAAAAGTAACAGGGTACATTTTTAATGGTTTTTGTTTGACAACAAATCTCTCATCTTTCTTCTTTTCTATTTATACACTTTATATTTTAGAATATCTGCATCATTGGAATTGATTATTGAAGTACCACCGTAATAACACGATCTATCACTATTGTTTAGAATCCAATCAACCCCCTTTCCCCGCTTACATACTTAAATTAATTTCAGGACATTTGTCTTGGTGTCCAAATGAAACTGGGTCCACACTTTGAAGTTGAATACAACTCGGACGCTCAAAGTGAGCTGGAAAGAAGTTTTATATTCGAGTTCGAGGCAGATATTCCCCGTGAGTTATATTAGAATCACTTTACTTTTTATTTTAAATTGATTATAATTTTTGATATAATATTGCAATGATCAAAACTTTTCTATAGTACACCCGTTTACAAACTCCAACAAATATAATAACTACCTGTTTTCGCTCTTTTGAGTGGGTCGATCATATAATTGATGTTTTGTCCCAAAACATCAATTAAATGAAATATAACATTATATAACAGGGAGTTGAACAGTAAAATCGTACTAAAAGTGCATCTAAAACTGCATAAACAGCAGAAAATACATTGTCTCAAGTAAAAGCCAAAAGCCATGCTAACAACAACCCTCCACAGTTCAGCCGTGGTATAAGAGGTACATGGCAATACTCATTGCAGCTCCCCTCATCGTTCTCTTCTTCGTGGCTCTCGTCTTTATCGGGGTTTACTGTGATCACAAAAACAGGTACAACTTTTCTTAAGACTTTTGTGATACTTAAATTATTTAAAACCAATTGTGATCGAGTGTTGACCTCCCAAATTGATCAAATGATTCCAAACTTGTTTTCTCCCCACAGGAAGGAACGAGGAACATCTTCTCCGGTAATACAAATGGAGTACGGTGATCAGATCAGTAACGGAACATGGAAAGCGAATGATAGTTTTAAGAAAAATAGTGTCATAGAGGACGAGGCTATTTCACCTCAGCCGAGGTGAGGAAATTTTAATTAAATTGAAATGGTGTTTGACGCTGATTTACATATTTAATGATTTTAATCGATTATTTTAATTGATGAATTAAAGATGAAACTCTTCCAAGTTCATTTAGATAATTCTGTTCAACTCACACATTGCCGTTCTGCAGGATACATAACGCAGTAACCAAACCAGATCCGCAGAGGAGGCGGAAGAAGAAAAGACGAGGCACTCCTAGTAAGACTGATTCAGGTAGTTCAATTTCATAACTAAGAAACTGTTATCATTAACTTCTGTACATAAAGCTCTTATCATGTCTGCCAACATTTTTCTCGTCTGATTTTTAGACAATTTTGAATTTAGAAACTCAACTGCCACTGGTCGAACAGCTGCCGAACAGTCAACTTCCCCTAACATTTCAAGATAATGACGACTCAGACTGCTTCCTTACCAACGCTCCAAACTTAGCAGAAATATTCGCACTTTCCAACAATTGGCAGGTGCTTCAAGATGCTACCGAATTTGAAAACCATTTCCTTGCCTTGCTGGATCTTCCATCAGAGGACAAACCAGATCTTGTCGTATTTAGTAATGAACTGAAGGTCATTGTTCTGATTGGACTAGGACCGAATATTTTGAACAAAGTGAGGTTAAAATGGGTTGGTCTGCAGCTTACCATTGCTGGATGGTCTTGTTACGTCAAAAACCTTCATCAATTAAAATTGTCAAGGTATAAGGGGCATTATTAACGCAGTTCAATTGAACATTGAAAGTATCTGGGAAAACAGTGCAGCAGTGTAGCAGAGTATTCTTGAGTGGACACCAGCACAGAAAAGGGAAAGTTGAAAGTTCAGAACAAAAGTGAAGCCTCGCAATTGAGGGTTATTATTAAGGTCACCCCAAGCACATTTTAACATTTTGAAATATCTCGGGAAAATAGGCAAGAGTAGATAATTTCCAATATCATTTTGGAGCTACTTCATATTTTCAATAACCATCATGTCATTTAGTCCCATCCTCACTGGTCCAAGCTTAATAACGATTAACTGTTTAACAATTCATAAACAATATACTCCCTTCTACTCAGCACTCAACCCTGATCCCACAGCAGATACACAACAAGCCCAGAATCCCGCGGGAGCGGACTCACTGAGCCCCCCTACCTACGACTCGTGGGTGCAGATCAGTAACCATAGTAACCCTGGTCAAACCACCACACCAGAGACCGGGGATATGTCCCCTGAGAGGGACACCGAAGGAGCCAGTCAGGTATTGTTGTGAAAGTGAGGAAAAGTGAGAATGAAAGTGAGGATGAAGTGAGAATAGCAGATAGAGAGAGGAAAGGGTGTGCGACTGTGTGTGAGAGAAGGTCCGAGTCCTGTGAAATTGTGAGGATATAATTATAAGTTGGTTGTGGGAGTCACAGGAGCGATAATAATATGGCATTGGTAGCTGGATAAGAAGATGTTCTTGAAAAGGAATATTTTCATCGCAAGTGGTGTTTCTAGATATAGGGTCCGTGTCCCGTGAGTCAGTAACTACTAGTACTACAATATCAAACGATGATGTGAAGTGAAATGTGAACTGTGACGTCACCAAGAGGTCAGCACATCGCATTGAACGTATTTGTGTAGCATTGTAACAGTGGGGAATTCCTCCTAAAAGCTAGCTGGCAACTAATTCCATTATCCCCAGGTATTTCACAGTCCAGTGAAACCTAAGAAAGTGAGGACTAGTGTAAACTCCACCGCTCCCCTCCTTAGCAACACCACCACCGCCACCTCCGACAACCTCCGCACAGCCAGCGACCAGACGGAGGCCTCAGCCGTTAAACCGCGGAAAAAGAAGCGGCGGAAGAAGCGGACGGAGTCGATGCAGAGGCCTCTGCCAACTCTGAACGGCGGAGAGACATACCAGGAGGGCTCGGTGGTTCAGGCCACGCCCCAAACGAAGAGGAGCTTACCCCCTCTGGAAAACAATGCAGCTAATGGTCGAGCTTTGCCTCCGATTATTGTGAACAAAAACGTCGACGATGATGCGGGCTACCCGTATGTGTCTGACGAATAAGATGTAGTTTATTGAGAAAACAGAAAGATTGTTTTATAAGTTAAAAGTTCGATAGGATGTTTATCTCATGAACGGACGAATTTATGCCATTTTTATAAGATTAATATAAATACTGTGACCTATAGATTATTACTGTTAGAGTAAATATTGCGGAAATGAGGTTTACAGACTCGTTTTTTGTACTCATAGCTGCAGTTATCCTATTTGTCCTGATGGTTTTGCGTGTTTGTAAGATCACCCACATTTCTACCGACCCCGACGACAATAGATTAAGTATAATTTTAAACAGTTTTATAAGTTTCATGTTGGCTGGTAATGATGTAGAAAAATAAGGAAAAACAGTATTATGCCTTAATGCTGATTACTGATCGTGATTTGTTTATGAAGATTATCTAACGTGAACGGTCAACGGATCTGTAGATTTTTGTACGTAAATGTTAGATGTTATTTTACGTATGGTATTATGTTATGGAGATGCTTTAGTTTGTTATTTTGAGATTAATTTTAACTTATTTATTATCAGTATTTAAGTTTAGTTTTCTTTAAGCAGTTTGTCGTGAGTGATGCTATTATTTGTATAATGTAGGTTAATATATTTGAACTTTTTTTAAATAGCAGTTCTATTAGTACGTTTTAATTTGTTCACGTTTGAATCTTAAACTGGTAAGATTTTAATCAGCTGGTACATTAGAGTACTGCGATTCGGTCTGGCGGTAATTTTAACGAGTAGGATATGGCAGTCGAAGTATGATCGTTCTATTCACAAACTACGTCAAGAAGTTTTAGTCGGAAATTATTCCCCCAGGCAGCATCAACCTGTAACCCCTACCCTATGATTAAATCAGCATTTGTCAACCCTCCCCTTTACAAGTTTACAAAAATCTATTCCCCAAATAGAGATCGATTAAAACCGTAGAACAGAAATGGTTTGTTGTGGTTCAGATTGGCGTAAGCTAAACTTGGTTCAATTTTAATCGAACATAATAAAAATAATAACAATTAAGCAAATAAATATTAGTAAATAATCATAAATTTTATTGATGAATTGTATGCGCATATAATAATATGATATGCATGCTTAACTTTAATTTTAAGCAAGTTTGGCAGCGCATATGCGCGCGCGCACCAAAAGCTGAAATGCGTATAAGAATGTTTCCGCCGCGCACGTATTCAGTATGTAATCATGATCTGAAATACTCGAAGTTGCCAAATTCCAACTGCCTGGAAACGGTAGCCGTCGTCCAGCCCAAGGTTGCATTGTACGCCAAGAAGGGTTATAAAATAAGGGTCCTGGGTAGAACGACGAGAACACCTGGAAACGGTTCAACAACGTTTTTTACTTCAAAACAGTAAGTTGGAGAGATATCGATGATATAGCTATCAGCTCTGAGAGGTAAACGACTTGGATAGGGTGTTCGTAAATAAATAAATAGAACAATATAAATGGTAGAATTAAAATGAATTGTCTAAAAAATTAAAGTGTTGACATAGAAATCCGAACTACAGGTTGAAAAATGATCAGAGAATTACGACTGAGCACGACAATTACAACAGAAATTGAATTAATTTTGGTCTGGATTAAAAGTTTCATTAAAAAATTAAAGTTTCATTAAGAGACCCGTTTAAGATGAAATATTATAACATGAAATGAATTAGTCATGAATTATTCACCTCATTAAGCTTATTAGTCAGAATCAGAAATTTCTAATAATTTAGTGTTCTTGGTAGATCTACTTGATACCCTTGATGGGCTTGCATTGCTAGACGTTGCCATGGTCCCAGAAAAAAAGGAGTCCAAATTTCCCTTCGGAGTCTTAACGCCGCCCTTGCCACCACGGGAGCCTTTACCACCACCGCGTGAGCCTTTACCACGTGCTGTACCACGTGTTGAGTTAGCACGTGCACGACTCCGACCACGACCCCGACCCCGACCTCGAGCAGGTTTCTCGTCATCGAGATCTAAAGCATCTGGGTCTGAATCACGGTCAACGTCTCTTTCGTCACTCTGCAAAATGACGAGTTTAGAAATAAAGATCAGAACTTTTCTATGTCTGGAATTTACATTATAACACTAAAACGAACTAAGTCTATTTGAGAGACTGTTTGGAACCAAATTCTCCACAGATTCAAATTTAACATCTCACTACGCATTAGCATAGCGTAAATTACATCTAAAGAAGAGACATGTAACCATCATCATTAAACTTTATCGAGAAGCTATTACATCAGGCATAATCTGGTATGAAATATCTAAAAACTCCAAGTGTTTTATTGCCACAACAAGCGCAAGCAATTAGAAACTAGAAAAGCATGCATATCAATGGTTTAAATAAAGCAATTTTTTAGTGCAGTTAAAAAGTGACAAATTTTCCGTAACACTTTGCGACTCAGCCACGTCACAATAAATCCGTCTAAAACGATCGTAATTCAATCCATATATTTCCCTTTCAATGGTATTTCTAATGATAATAACATAATGCAGTAAGATTGTAAGATTGTAAGATGGTCACCTCTCCTCTAGCTTGCTTCTCAAGCCTCCTATTCTCCGTCCTCCTTCTAGCCTCCTCACAATCATCAGCAACATCGTCCTTTGTCATCACTGCTTTCCTTACTCGCACTTTTTCTGTCAGGTCATCTCCTGTGAAGGGGGATTTTGTTTGATTCAGGTTTTACTGCTATGGTGGTAGCAGTTACTGATATACTTTATTACTGCTATACTCTATTCTCAAAATTACCCACAATCTTTTAACCATTATTATTAACATTGCTTAAGACCTACATACCGAATTTTGCTTTTTGTTTCAGATAATCTTCACACCGTTCCATAGCAAAATCGATGTATTCATTAACACTATCATTCTCCAACTTATCCACGAAATCATCCGATGCCATACCCAAACAGCTTTCAAATAGTATCTTAAATTCTTTGTTATCCGCTGAAAATATACAAAATATGTTGGATGTGGATAAGGAAAAAGGAATGTGGATAAGGGTATTCATTAAATTTGGCAAAAAGACTAATGCTGTAGAGAAGTGGAAGATAATAAATAACAGGAAATAGTTGAAATTACAAACCTTTCATTATCTCGAGAGCTAAATCACCTCGGCTAGTGCTGCCCTTGTTTTCATCTTCATCACCTTCCTCTTTTAATGTGCCTGAAAAGGACAACTGACATTTTGGAATTGAATCATTAATTGTTCAACAAAATTCTTCACCGAAGGCAGTTGAAGTGGAAAACTGAAGATTCAATCTAACCTGTTCTAGCAGAGGCCTTATTATCGGTACTTGAGTACTCCTTCTTCTTAACAGATAACAGTATATCTCTAGGATTAGCGAGCTGGGTCAGATAGTCCACACCAAACTTAGCACCGTTTATGGGTATGGTGCCGCCGCTGTACTCATATCTCAGTCTGATGAGGGGTAGTTCGGGAGCGTTGCTGTTATCTCCACGGAGCTCGTTCGCACGTTCAATCATCTCGTTAACATGGTATTGTAGGAAATCGTGGATCTTTTCGTCGGCCGTTATATCGTTATCAATCTGGTATGGAAGGATTCGTATACAGGATATATTTTGTTGGGAATTTTTGTATGGGTGTATGGCCTAAAACAAACGTAAAAAACCAATTAAAAAATAAAGCATTAACGATATAATAGTGGTACAATCGTAGATACACGTCATATCAAGATAAAGGGATAATTTTGACACACTCGTCACTCACTTCAACTATACCCCAAAATTAATTCACCAAGGTCTCAAATTACTTGAACTTACGAGAGAAACGGATTTGAAGATGAAAGGTCGAACAGTAGTCAGAGGAATCTTGTTGAGACAGAAGTTCTTCTTCCATATCTTGAGTTTGAAGCAGTGTTTGGGCAGAGTCTCCCCTTCAGAGAGTGACGTAGCTACACTGGACCCTGGCTAATGAACATATAATTTATTTTACGTGTAAAAATATAATTTAGTTCTAGTAATTATACGATTTAGCTCTAGTGCATGACTGGTGATAAATATATTGTAAAATAAAAAGGTTTCACAATTTTATTCAACTTGTAAAGAGTGCGGAACGCAAATATTCTGATACGTAGTACAACATAATAATAATATGTCGAATATAATTAAAAACGACCACCCCAATTATTTCTGCACTTAACAAAAGTGTGAGATGTTACAAACTAGTGTACCTGAAGAACGTAAGCGTTGATAGTCTCATTGTGTTCCAGCTCAGGTTTACAGTCGTGCTCGTGACCCCAGATTACCAGGTCCATGAAATCAGGGAGGAAGTCTTCTGGGATATACGAGGTGGCTTGGGAGCCTCGCTTCACGTGGTTCTGAAACAGACATAATTTAGACATTACATGTGCTGGATAGGGAGCTATCACTATTTCAAACGTTTGAGTAGTTACTTTTAGACCACGGCCCCCAACTTGCGTTTAACTTTCCTGGCAAGTGACCTCATTTACTATATTTTAGACTCTCAATTTCTCTGGAGTCCGGCCCTTCAAGTTAGCTTTGTTGAAACCCCTAGACTATTCCATTAAAGTATATTGACCACATGAAGAGGTGCTATTAATAATAACTGGTAATGCTTTATTCTGGCTAACAACTGGCTAACAACTAGCTAACAGCTGGTTACAATGCTTTATTCTGGCCCCAGAGTAAAGTTGTTGAGCTTCTGTTTTCGAAAGCATCATTAGTCACTATAGGTCATGTTGGTTAATGCTATCATAATGTTAACAGAAATTGACGTCATTTCAGTTTTAAGGTCACGCACATCGAACACTTTTTTATTTGAAAAATATTCGATCGAAATTAGTCGTCTCGAGACGTCTAATGGCTGGTGTTATGAGAAATGATAATAAAGGTGGTTTAGTTATACAATACCTTAAGAACACTTTATTTAATTCAACACCTACTATAGCTATAGGCTGCGGATTCAGGACAAAGGGGCTATATTTTGACGAATAACTTAGGAACCAGACACCGGACACGAGGAATTTTCTTATAAGGCTAGACGCAAAGGATGTATCACATGATCACTCATCGTGTCCTATACTTGAGACAGAACCTGAACCGCAACCGGAACCAGAACGGGAACCGCAACCTTTTTTAATTTCTAATCTTTAAAAAAGATATGCTGGACCTATATGGTCCATGAAAGGATAGCATTAGCATGCCCTGCCTGCCTCTGAGGTATGGAAACCCTGAAGGAGGTTGCCGGAGTTATCTATGTAGAGATGATGGAGGTATAGTGGCAAGTGAAGTGAGGGGGAATGAGTAGACGCTCGTCGCTCAAGTGCCAAGTGGATGATAACCAGAGATGAGGAGTCAAGGAAACATGAAAGTTGGGCTCTAGTTCACTCGTTTAGTGCGATTTGTGAAGTTGAAAATAGTGATGATATATTGGTTGCTAAAGATGTCGTTGACGGTTAGGTAATAATCCTGAAAGTATTGCCCTCTTAGTTGTACAATAGCTGGGCACTGTCCCAGAAAGTGTGAGTCTCCTCTTTATCACCGCACATAGGACATGCACTCGTTTTTTATTTATAAATGATATGGAGGTGTTTGTTCAGACCACAGTGTCCCGTGATAAGGTGCACTGCGGTTCTGTATTTTAGTCTGTTGTTATCGAATGTAGTCTTAAGGTTTTTGATGATGATGGCATGCTTGGTGCCAAATGTCATTTTTGTGTGTCTGGCACCATAACTCCATATTAGTTGGCCAGCCTTCCTGATTCAGTCAGGTGACTTAGTCGTTAATCAGGCGTTTGATATAAGATTGTGGAATGGGACACTTGGATTCGCTGGTTGTGCCAAGCTTAGCCAGCTCTGAGCTCATCTGCTTTTTTGTTCCCCACAATCTGGTGTGTGCTGTTCGTGGATCCAAGAGGCGAGATCATTAACCATATTAAAACTATTCGATCGAAATTGGTCGGCTCGAGCTGGCTGGTGTTATGACTTCATGAGGGTAGAATAAATGTGGTTTTACAATAACTAAACCACAATTTATTGAATTCAGCACCGACTATAGGCTGCGAATTCAGGACAAAGGGGCTCTCTTTTGACGAATGAATTGGGAACCAGACATGAGGGCGAAGGACACAATCGCGGATAATACGAGGGGGTAGGACGCAAGGGCAGAATTTTTCTAAAAGGGTGGACACGAGGGCGGATCACATGATCACCTATCGTGTAAAATAAACTGACTTTATTCAGGGTGGACGATGACGAATTATTGCTTTAAAAGGCCTTCACGAGAACTCTTCCTCACTTTTGAGTATTGATCCAGTGCTATCACAATGGCAAGACTTTTCGTATTTCTAGTGGCTACCGTAGCTGTGCTTGCAGTCGTTGAAGCAAATTCAAAGAAATGTTCTAAGAATATAGATGCTTTTGCGGCATGTCTTGAGAAGGGATACAAATCAGAAGCCAATTGCACCTCTGGAGATGGGGTCCTGTCGAAGAAGGAGCTGAGGAAATGCGCAAAGGTGGAGAACCAGCTGAATGCCTGTGATTACTCCTGTAGAAAATCGGAACCAGAACCAGAACCTCAACCGGAACCAGAACCAGAACCTCAACCGGAACCAGAACCAGAACCTCAACCGGAACCAGAACCAGAACCTCAACCGGAACCAGCATACGACATGAACTGTGCGAGACCTGGATTCGACTTTGGGGGAGCTGACATCCGAAGTTTCTTCGCATCAAGCCTTGAAGAGTGTGCCATGGAATGTAGCAAGGAAGCTGGTTGCAAGTCTATCACAACCCGGGACTCAGACAACTACTGCTGGCTGAAGAACAAGAAAAGCGGAAATGGACCGTCCCAAAAAAGTGGTCTGACCAGCATGAACCTCAAGTGTGACAGATCAGATGTTGACAGTAGTTGCAAGAGAGATAACTTTGACTTTGGTGGAGCTGACCTCAAATCTTTCTTCTCACAAAGCTTGGACGATTGCGCTAACCACTGCCGAGACACCGAGGAATGTCAGTCCTTCACACTTAGAAAATCTGACAACTACTGCTGGCTGAAAAACAAGCGGGGAGGAGGAAGAGGACCTTACCCAAAGGATGGTCTAGTTAGTATGAACATAGAATGTTTCCCTGGATTTGATGCCTCCGACAGGACATGTGCCCAGGACGGATTTGATTTCGGGGGAGCAGATTTGAGAGATTTCAAATCCAGTGGATACGAGGAGTGCCGAACAAGCTGCTTTGACGCTATTGACTGTGTTTCCTTCACTCTGAAAAAGTCTGATAACAACTGCTGGATGAAGACCAAGGAAGGAGGAGAGAATGGTCCTGGAGCTAACGATGAATTGATTAGTGCAAACATGAGCTGTTAGACTTAGAGTATACAGTAATACTAGATTCTTTGGTTTGAACCCTTAAATGGAATTGTAGATTTATCAAATATGTCGTAGAAGTAATTTTTTTAAGCAACTTGTCTGTTTTATTTTGACACTCTCGTCTGTCCCATAATGGGCTAGAAAATTAAATAAAATAATCATTCACATCAAAATAAAATAAGTAATACTTCAGTATTTACAGTAATTATGATCTGCCAGAGGATCTTTTTTTTCTCAGAGAAAGAATTAAAGGGATGTGATTGAAAACAACCAAAACACCACGTGACATCATCACAACACCACGTGACGTCATCACAACATCACGTGACCACAGGGAACAATCTGGCAGTTGTTTAATGTTTACAAGTGTCACTCTGTAGTGTATCAGCACTCAGCAGTAAACCATAACCCGTAAAATATAAAACGAGGAATAATTATTAATCTAAAATGAGATGAAAAGCCCACCTGATGAATAACAAAGATATTGAACCAGTCGTCCCGGTCCTGCTCGGGTCTTGTTACTCGTACTTTGTTGTTTAAAAACATTCTGTGTAACCTCTCATCCCTCACACTTCCTAAATAAAATATTATTAAGTGCTACATCTGAAAATGGGACTAGTCATAGTTTAAAAGGCAAGCCTAATGGTATCATGTACTGGCACGCAAGTTAAAAACAAGTCTTTTAAAATGTACATTCCTTTATAGCATTTAATTTAAATGAAATGGAATGTAGGAATTACCAAGACCGTAGATAGCAAGTTTGGTAGGACCCTTTCTCATAAGTAGCGGGTTTATCACTATCTCGTCCACTGATGTAGCTTTTCCTGAAGACAAACTTTAATAAAGAATTTAGCGCATATTATAACGTGGCCGAAGAGCCAACGTAAGCTCATCAACTTAATAACACCAGAATGTGTGTGTGTCTGTGTGTCTGTGTGTCTGTGTGTCTGTGTGTAATTTCCGAACGGTTATACAAAAAAAACGGTAATAGTTACGGGACTGGTTTTTTTGGTATAGTGCTGACAAAACTCTGACGAAGCCCATAAGCAAATTTTATAAAAATCGGCCGGTGGTAAGTGGTTTAATTGATGATTTTGTTCCAGAAATGTGACATAAATGGATGGGAGAGAGAACGAGGAGGATAACATGTACCGTAATTAGTTTAGCCCCACGTAATACTATAAGCTTAGAGCTCAATCTTGCGGCCGCTTTGTTTCAACTGTAGGGAGATTTCATACTTTCATAAGACAGCGTTATGCGTGATATCAAATATTATATAATGCGGTTGTACACTTTTACATTGCAACTGTGACAGTAAAGTCCCGGCCGAAGGCACGGGTTACACTAGTATTGTTAGTATTAGAGCGAAGCAGTACCCATTGTACTTGTTAAGCTTAAATGAGAGAACCGCAATTTTCGATGGAATAACCGAATAATGTAAGTAGTACGTCACTGATACGTCAATCATAATAATATGATATTGTTCAATAGCTTAATCAACATTTCATTAAAATTATTTAAGAAGACGAACCAAAATAGTTGATAACCCCACTAGCGCTCAACAAGTCAAGAGCACACAATCCCTGAGGTCCAGCAGGATCGTCATGGTTACCGTGGATACTGAACACAGGAATCCCCACATTCAAGTTGGGATCCTCGTAATTAACACGTGGGAAGTGGGAAGTGTGAAAGTTTGCTTTTTGGTCGCTGAGAAACTCGATCTGGATGGGCTTGTCTCCAAAGCAGTATTTGCGGAGTAAGGTAGTTGCCTTGTGAACTGTGGTGCGACTTGGCTTGTTGTCGTGAAACAGGTCCCCTCCCAGCAGGATCATATCTACTTGCTGGTCTACAGCATGCTGGAGTACCTCTTCAAAGGCCCTGAAGCTGTCCTCACCCCTGATAGCATCCTTCTCAGCGTATCCCAAGTGGGTATCTGAGGAGTGTATCGGTGTTAAGTTACCGATTTAAAAATAAAAACTGAATAAAAGCTAAACTCGTGAAATATACCATATTCCTGATTTCTACATCCTACTAAATTCAAATATTTTTTTTGGTTGAAATAAATACGTCGATAAAAAGTCATGGGGTCTGATGTGAACAATAATTTACCTGTTGCAACTAAAACAGAAAATGATTCTTCTTCAGGGGGATCTTGCGAGTCATCATCACCGGTCATCTGCTCAATTAATAATAAATATCATGTGAAAGGTGCAATAAATTATAGCATGTTGTTATTAAATTTTTTCAACATATCCGAATAATTTGCGTGTAGAATACTCAAACGCAGAATTAATAGTTAATAGTACTATGTTTACAGTATGTACTGAAGGGGTATCCTAGGAAGTTTCTTGAACTTTTAACAGGTACCCCTCCTCATTTAACCCTCAATCAAGTTTCCCATCATTCGGCTGAGTCGACCGAGGAGATCGCATAGATCCAATGGATCCTTAGCTACTCCCTAGACTAGGTGACACTGGGATTCGAACCCTGGACCTTCTGCGCAGAAGGCGGATGCTCTAACCACTAGGCCACCTAGAATTGGAACCGTCGCCCGTTTTTGATGATAAAATACAGGCATCTGTGTGCCGTACAGGAAAGCAGTAAAAAACGTGGTAGTCACTGAAAAAAAATGAACTAACATTCGGAAGTTCTCAATATATAATATAATGTACTATTAATAAATATCTGTAAGTTAAGTACTTGAATCATCTATTAATAGGTACTTGAATCATCTATAAATTCTTTTGTAAAGGAGTATCACTTAAGTAAAGTATCGCTTAAGCTAAAGGAAAGTAAAGGAATAATTAGTATTCAAGTTTTACATATAAGCACAATACAAACTTAACCAAACATTTAGGTCGCTGTATAAAAACAAAACTAATATAAATTCATCTGGCATCGTCAATTATTATAGGTATCTAAAAACATAAAACAAAACAGTAATAAAATCTGCAAATAAATATCTATCATGTATTATAAAGACCTTTAGAATGTTTCATTTTTCAAATTTAAACTCACCTTCATAGAAAACATAAAGATTCCACCCCAGTTCATTCCAAGATTTAATCGTTTTAGCAGCTAATCCATCATCACTAATCATTCCACTGATTGTTTCGTGTGATTTCAAACTCTTAAAAGCACAAAACGTTCCACCCTTTAAACACTGTTCAATACCATTACCTTTACAAATATTTGCAATAAAACCACCAAGAAAGGAGTCTCCAGCTCCGCTGGAAGATTTGATGTGTGGCTTTTCTGGCGCTTTTGGAAGATGAACGATTTGAAGAATGTTGTCTTCAGATAACTGACAATATAAGACACCTTTCTCTCCTAGAGTGGTAAGAACAGATCTGAATTGTGTCTTCCGAGACATCTTGCTAAGACACTGCAACATTTGAGGCAATATTTGGGAGATATCTTTTGGTATCGGTTTCAGTAGACTAGGAATGGCAAAATCATTCTTATCGTCAGTGATTACAGCTAGCTCTGTTACATTGGGAGTCACTATGGAAGTAAACTGCAGAATTCCAGCAGCCACAAACTGCTTGAATTTTAATGGAGCAGTCGGTTCCAGGATGAGTGGGACACTAAGTTTGGAACAACTCTCAGCAACATAAATACCTGTCTGAACAGGAGTGTCACAGTCCAGGACAACAAATCTCGAACTGGCAATGTCTGCTTCTGGTATCAAGTTGGGGACGAGATGTGAGTGAGCAGAAAAGTTGCAAATACCCTCCAAAACATCGCCGTCCTTGATAGTTAATTGAGCAACAGGAGTAGAAGCACCAGGCTGAGCTACAATCCTAGTGGTGTCCATACCACTCTCCTTGCAACACTCCAGAGCTAGTCTTCCTAAATTGTCATCCCCCACTACGCTGATCAAAGTACTTTTGATGTCCTGTTTAGCTAGACACTCTGCTACGTTACGCCCAACTCCACCCATAACATGCTGGATATTTCCCTGCGCCAAGTCTTTACCAACGGTTGTTTCTTCATGTTTGGTACACAGAATATCAACATTAACAGCTCCTACAACTAGTACTTTGTTGTCTTTTGTTTCACCTTTCGATTTTAACTCTACTTTTCGGGATTGATCAAGGCGTTGAATATGACTCAATTCTAAAGCTATCTGACTGCCTACATGTACATTGTTGCGTACTAGAGCCAAGTTAGTCTTGAGTGATCTACCATAGGTAAGTTCAGAGACTCTTTGCAATATAAAAGGGGTAATCAAATTACCTGCAACATCAGCATCATTTGCTTCTTTGAGGGCGGTTTGGATGGCATTCTCTATTTCAAGACCATCTGCAGAAAACTGTTCAGGAATGGGTACAGCTATCACTATCCCAGAGCCTAAATTAAGCTGTTTATTAACATAGATCATCTCAGCAGCTTCCTTAGCAGTTCGAACATTGGTGTGTGAAAGCAAACCACTTTTAGCAGTAAAAAAAGCTGGAAAATCTCTTGTTTCTCCAAAAGTCGCTACAGTTACTCCTTGAGTTTCCAAATATTCTAAGGTCTTGGCAATATCCAAGATTGACTTAACTCCAGCACACACAACAGCAACAGGTGTTCTACCAAGTTCAGTGAGATCTGCACTTACGTCCAGAGTATCCTCACCACCACGATGTACTCCCCCGATTCCTCCAGTTGCAAATACCGGAATGTTGTGTTGATCAGCGAGGACCATAGTCCCACTCACAGTCGTGCCCCCAGTTAACTTTTGTTGAATTGTAGGAGCTAGGTCTCTTCTTGAAATCTTAACATAAGATTTAGAACCATTTGAAAGTTCTGAAAGTTCCTCACTGGAAATTCCAATACAGGGAGAGCCTCTCATGACTGCTATAGTAGCAGGAGTCACTCCATTGCTCCGGCAGATATCCTCAACTGATTGTGCCATATGCAAGTTTTCTGGATTTGGCAAACCATGAGTTATTATTGTTGACTCTAAAGCTAAAACAGGCTGCTGATTAACCAATGCTTTATTAACCTCCTTTGAAACGATGGTATGGAAATTTTGACGAGCAGATAATGTTCCATAAAAATTCTTTGCTGCTCTCCCTATCATTCCACTACTAAACTGTCTTTCTTTCTTTGATTTAGAGAGGCAATGTTAGCCCTGAAACAGTTTTATTGTTTAGTTAATATTGTAGCAGTAAAAATAAGAAAAGACGTTACTGATTTTATCTTGGTTTTATTTTTAATGTGAACACACAGTGCCTATCCCTAGATGTTTTCAACAATAAATTCAATAGTTTACTTTTAATGATGTTGAATTTTGATACATCAATATTGATTCCATTCCTTAGAAGTCTGAAGATAGATTTTTCTTAAAGTTTGAAGATGAATTTTCAACAGTGAAACAAATTAAATCATCAATAACAATGAGCTTGAAATACTGTTCTTGTTCAATAATAAATAGAAATCATTTTCACTGTCTTAAAATATAATATTACAAACAAATTAACTATGTATATAATGATCACTTTTTAAACAAAAACTAAATTAAATACTTAAATAAGGGAGCAAGTAATAAAAATTTACGATTCAAAACACGATCCTGTGAATAATACCTTACATTTGCAAAATTTAGGTGATTAAATTTTAAACACAATACAATAAAGCACTAAAAACTTGGGCTTAGAATTTGGACTCATAGTAGTGATGAAAAATGTGGGTGAGGGTACTGCCCAAATTCGTCAATGTCAAAGGCATTCAATTGCACAACAAACAAACAAAATAAACAATGGAAAATAAAAACAGTAGTGTGATAGAAAGCTGTCACTAATTGCAAATGAGTGATTGCAATATAATTTTAATAAACTATTCAATCAAACCATTTCGTCAACTCCAATTTCTTGAAACAAAAACATTAACTTGTACTGTCTGAATGTCTGATTTATCCAAATGATGACATTTAAGACCTTGGTGTCTTTGGAAGATAAAGTCCAAACTTGTTTTCAAGATCTGGCACTTCTTTTAAAGATGTCTGTGCTTCTATCTTCATTTCATTAGTCACCTTGAACATTGGACCATGGCCTGGAACAACGAAATCTGATAAGAGCAACATCAAGGAACGGTTCTTGATTTGTTGTGCTTCATCTTCAGATCCAGCCTCCTTCCAAATACCAGAGTCTTTGATATCTTCTTCTTTCTCAAACAGATCACCTGCTATACAAACACGACCTTTCCTCGTGTTTACCACAACACTTGTGCTATCTAGGGTGTGCCCGGGAGTGGGGTGAACATATAGCTTCCTGCCGTCTATTTCATATGGGGTACCATTAGCAAAGTGATGTTCATAATAAATGTCTTTGTGATAGATAGAGTTTCCAACTATATGTAATTTTGCATCAGTGAACAAATTATTATTTCCTGTATGGTCTGGGTGTCCATGGGTGCAAACAACATGAGTAATTTCGCAAGGCTTTAGATTATAACGCTGAAGACAGTTTATCATTGCATCTCTGTCCCATGGTGATAGTGTGTCAACAATTACTTTTTTGGCAGGTCCAATGATAAGTGTACTTGTCCCATTAGCACACATTGATCCATTAGAGTTGACAGAAGAATATCCTGGCTGTAATACATGAACTTCATACATCGAAACACTGTAGGGCCCTGAATATTTAGGTATGAATTATGAACTATCAATAGACCACATGGGCGTTACTAGGGGGAGGAACAATTTCGTAAAATTTTAGCAAGGCTTGCAAAAGACTTGAATTTTCAATGTAGCCTGATTTATGAAAAGAAAAAAAAGAAAAAAAAAAAGGGGGGACCCCCAACCCATGTAGCTGAGACACCTCACAGCAAGTAGACCAAAGTGGCTCTTGCTTGTGAAAGGTGCGTCAACTACCCGCCGAAGCGGTGGGTTGGGAGTCCCCCCTGGGATCATTTCGTCCGTAAAATTATATACAACATAAAATAGTACAGTAAAATATCAAAATTTACATAAACAAATCTAGGAGACCTCAAAGCTCGTCTTCTGGGGGATGAGGTTGAAGGAGATGTCATGCAGTTCAAGATGCTGGGCCGTTGATCTTCCTCTGATTCCTCTTAGTGCAATGAGTGTACTTCTTAACAGATCAAATCTGAATCGTGTTCTGATATGATTTTTGACTTGGCTCTTGGCTTCTTTTTTATGGTCAGCTATCATCTCAGAGACACGATCTACAAATACAGTGCATAGCGGTCCCATACCTCCAGAGGTTGTGAAGACTAGAGGGACAAAGGATCCTTTCTCTGACTGAAGTACTCTCTCTTCATACAAATCTTTCTTTTCTTTCTCGTGATCTTTATAGATCTTATCTAGCGTCTTAAATGTGTTTGTGTCACAGTTAGGATGTGTGACCCTAATGTCAAAGAATGTTCTTTCAAAGGGTGCATACAATCCGACAGCTGCAACATCAAGACGGGCTTCATCCTGGGTGTTGGTCTTTCTTGAGAAGGAGCTTGGTTGGACTGTCAGGAGTGCTGGTTCTATCCTTACATCTTTACACTTTGCTTCTCGGAGGAAGAAAGCAGCAGTATCTCTAATAGCGTTGTGGCGCATGCTAACGTATCCGCCTAGTTTACAGTCAAGGGCGTGGTAGATACTATTAACATTTCCACAAGCACATTTAGAGGGCACTCCTTGGATCTTCCAACCATACCTTAAGCGTATGCTGTCTTGGAACTCCTGCCTGTTCAGAACATAGTTGAGGTCTTTCAGTGGTAGTGTCGAAAGCCATGTTGAGGCTCCCTTCTCTCTTGCTTGGTCTAAGTGGTTCTTTAGTTGATGATCTGATTCTTTGTGGAGCACCTTGAACCTTTGAGAGAGAAACTCCTCTTTCTGTTTCCTCAGTTCTTCTTTCTTTTCTTTTATCTTGCCCATGTCCAGCTTGGTGATATCCGGGTCTTGTTGGTTGATCAAACTCACATGGTCTTTAGTTACCGCTACTGAGTAAGCATATTCACGGGATGTTATTCTGACAGGATTGATGATGCCTAGCCCGCCACAACGAACAGGAAGTTCGAGGATATCTCTCTCGTGCTGGTTGACTGGACGACCGAGGAGGGCTGGAATGAGCACATGCATGATCTTGCTCTCCAGTGGGGCAAAGTACTCTGCAATGTCAGGTATTGTTCTCATGAAGAACCTCCATCGGTGGCATATTCCTTTGGTGAAGGCTGAATATGTGCATGCAGATTTATGTGCATGCAGATTGTTAATGACAAATATTCATGGTTTTTATATACAGAGTGTCCCAAAAAAGGCGACCAAGTGATCAGTGTTAAAAGATAACGGAGTTTAAATCTAAGGGAAGTCGATAACAAAGTAGAAAATTTGTATCGGACTCTAAAATTTATATCACTTGAGACTACTTTCAATCGATTGACCGGTGAAAATATGTCTAAAGATTGGCTTTACGATTATAATGTATCCAGCAAATAACCCTGTAACAGTGTATACTATTGGATTGCTCAAACATTTTGATAGCGCTCGATTTCATTTCTATTTTATTGTGGAGTGTGCGCGGCGCGCAAAATTTTAATAAATGATTAAACAGAGAGTCTTGTTGATCATTGATTGTTTAACTTCAATTTTAATAATTGTATTAAACATTTTGGAATAATGGTTCGTCAATTTATAAACTGTAGTATTGATAGTGCCTAGTTTGCGCATATTTGTTGTTATAGCTTAACGGCCCAACTTGGTTGACGATGTCAACCCATTGAGATTGTTGTTTTGCGAAGCAGAGCAACGATGCTAGTTCGCGTGGCGCGTCGAAGCGGCGAAGTCCTCCAGCGGCCCAACGCAACGTTAATGTAACTTTTGATATATGTTTTGGTACAGCCGAATTAATTATTATATAATCAAGTTAATTTTAAAAAGTATCCATGTTTTTCACATGGATATGCGAATTGTGACCCCATTGTTTTTTACTTTAGCGTTTGCGTTTCTACGATGAAAGGAAAACACGACATGACACGTTTGCAATTGTAAATTAATCACGCCAACAGTAAATAATTAATTTTTTCGAGGACTTCGCCGCTTCATCGCACCGCTCCAATTAACATTTTTGTTTTGTATCATATCCTGACGAGATTGTTGTTTTTTAAATTTTCGAAACAACGATCTGGAAGCCGGAAGGTTTGACATCGTTTTAACGGGTACGGTGACACTTGTAAAATATATTTGTTTGGTCGACGATCGATCGTCCACGTCCAACTTGGCGCGCGTCCTGGTAGGTTATAAACTTATAAACATCTTGTCATACGCTGTATGGCCCGCCGCGCACGAGTGCGCGGCTCCCCTGTATCGTACAAACTTTGGAGGACTTCGCCGCTTCGACGCGAACTAGCTTAACAGGTGATACACGTAAAATATCTGTTCCATATACCGTCGACGAGTCCAACTCGGCGCGCGTCCTGGTAGGTCCTACCCTTAAGGGCCTCAACTGCTAATTTTTACAGTGGGCATGTAAACTGCTGTGTGCTGTATCATTTAAAAATGTACTTCATACTTGCCTCATAGAGGGTTTTTAAAATACATTTTTCCCTGATTTAAAAAGTTGCTACCTTTTCTTTTCATTTATTAAATTGGTTTTTATGTTGTGAGGGTGTCTTTAAACATTTTACCTGTTATAGCTGAACAATGACCATTGCTGAAAACCTGTGTATATAGAATATTATTTAAAACATTCATTTCAGTAATTTCATAAGTCAATTCTCTCCCTGATAGATAGATAATGTGTTATTTTTTATTTAACCGATTCTTTATTCGACTATCATCATGGTAGCTGTATTTAAATCACAGTAAGAACTATTAAAATGTGAATATTTGTATGGAAAAGTGGGATGTGGCTGATTTAGGTGACCCAGGGTGAGGCTGTAATTTCGCCCGTTTTTTCGTTTTGGCGGACGCTAGATTTCCATTCACTATAACTATAAATATAAGCTCTATCAGCTCACTTCATAATAATAATATTGATACACATCAGTACACTTTACGCGTGCCATGTACAAATATAAAATTGGGCTTCCGCTTATTACATAATACTATACAAATTACATTGTATACATTAAAATATACTCGCGTTGTTCATTCATTGACCACAGGCTAGCTACACAATACATCACATTACCGCAAGCAACCCTCGTGTGCTGCGCGCGGCTAGTTGACATGGTAATGGATGGAGACAATAAAGTTAATTGGTTAGTGAGAGCTAGAGCCTTATCTACAAGTACACTGACTTGTGATCAGAATTTATGAACTTTTATATGTTGTGTTCACATTCTATCTACGAGCCGATACTGTGTAGTTAGTTTTACATAGTATGTATTTAGTGTAAGTTGTGGCTGATGATTTCTATAGACCGTTCTCTTTGGAACGAATTCTGCTTTGGAACGAATTCCGTAAATTTGGCCCGTTAAATTTCACCTCCACATGCGGATCTGTCAAGAATTTACTTAAACAGTCACTTCTAAGAGCTCAAAACCGGTATGGAACTGAGTGGTGTGACAGAAATTTCACTGAATTCTGATTATGAAGTGATATTCATTTGCCCGTTATTCCCACTTAAGCACTTACTGACTGACAAGCTTATCTATGAATACCATGCTTGAATTTAGGTAAACAACATACAACTCATTCCCAGTTACGCTGAGCGCAACCGCCGAATGACACAGTAATATGGGCACGCGCATAGCATTGCGCGCCGATGCTGTGCGCGTTGTCGGCCGAAACTTGGGAAGTTCCCGCTCTAATATTCAGACGACAGTGATGACTCATTAAGAGCACTAATTTCGACCACTTTCCCGGTCGAGCCATACCAAATCAAACTAATTGATCCACGTGTATAGCCAATGTCCTGGCGGTGCTGAGCCGATGTAAAACTCTTCTGTAAACCCTTTTGTCTCTTGTAACTTGTTTATATTTTATATTTAAGTTATACTGTGTACTGTGTACAATAGTTATAGCGTATATATAGTGTGTAGTGTGTAGTGGTTATTTTGTTGTGACGTGTCACTTTATATTTTGCTACCAACGTCAGCCTTGACTTACCATTTATTGTAATTGGTACAGCATATATCAAAACTAAAACACTGTTTTCGATCTGACGGGTGATGGGCTCTCTCTGATGGGACACGGTTCTAGGGGGTACCCGGGGTACGAGTTAACGAATAGTGTTCGTGTCCTTCCACAACCCCCTCTCATTGTGTTTTTGACGGAGGAGAAGCCTAGTTCATCCGTCTGCATCGCTTGATCGAGTTGAAAATTTAGCCAATAACAAACTAAATTACATGTTATACTGATAGCAGGTGTAGAGTTTATAACATACAAATTCTAAATTTTTGACGGCTGACGATGGTAAGTCGCTATGTTTAATTCGGGACTTTGATAGTCTTAAGTCTTGGAGCTCAAAATGTCTCGTGCTGTGGGCCGTATAAACGGCGCACACCACCGCCCCGCCTTACTGCTTACATTACTTCATGGTTGCAGGGCGGAGCTGGTGCCGTTTGTCTCGGCCTCGAGTGGCGAGTGCTTGCCCATCGAATACACAATTGAAACACTAATTATTTATTGGAATTCTACAGTTTCCAAAACGAAGTACGAGGATATATTAACTTTGAGCTTTGTTTTGGCGACTGCTTTA